AGCACTTTGCCTCTGTGACATATGAGTTGTGCCAAATCCATTCTGAGTTTTTGTTTTTAAGCTCTGAGTACAAGGGTGAAGTGAAAATAAAGTGTGAATAATGGTCTTTCTCTCAAAGGCAATGTGATATTGCGTTGAGCTGAAAAATTTACTCTAATACAGATCGGCCCTGCCAGTATGAAGGGCTGATTGATGCTGAGCACCATCCAGCTGATATCTGATATTGGGGAGGGGGAGGGCTTTTCAGTGTTGCTGACAAAGCTTTAACAAGATCCAAGGACTGGAAGCTGAAGTTAGGCAAATTCAACCTTGCAGGAAAAGGACAGTCATGAGGCTAGTAAGGTATTAAAACAGTTTATTGGGACTGATGATGAATTAATTCATCCTTGAGAAATCTTTAGCATTTTCTTTTCAAAGCAGTCTTCAGTTTCTGGGAGAAATTCTGTGGCCAGTTTGTGAGCTGGAGGATCATGATGATCCCTTTTGGTTTTGTAACTGGAGTACAGTTATTAACTTCTCCTCTTCAGAGGGCCATAATGACAACACTAGAATTTCTCTTTACCAGAATTGCCCTTAACAATTCTCATAGCACCTGCAGATCTGCACTAAGATAGCTATTCTAATTAAATCCTATCCTTTAGGACTATGTCTGATTGCCCATAGAAATGGAAGGGATTTTGTGCTTTCCTTCCCTTCTTGTTTTCCCCCCAAAGTTGCTTGTGTTGGATCTTGAGATGGTAAAGTTTTTGTTTTTGTTATTTTTAAACCTTCTTTTTCTTTACTTCAGCATGGGTGTAGCTCATGTGGTGGGATGTAGCTCTGGAAACAGATTGCCCAGGATCACAGAAACCTTTGTCAATGATGATACTTCTCAGGCTCTCCCACCTCTGCCGCTCAACAGTTTGTTCACCTCTGTGGTGTTCAACAATCTGTGCTCTTGAGAGCTGGAATGATGTTTCAGTATAATGGAAGCCTTTGGGCTTCATATAAGGACATCTGGATGGAGCTTAATGATACGGGATATACCCGAAATCATATTAGTCACAGGAGCTGATTCCCTTCTGATCTCAGACTCTTTAAAATATGTGAAATTGGAGGTCGCTGAACAAAAGAGCACTCTGCAAATCTCACAGGATCAGGCTCCCTGTTATTTCCCTGTCTGAACAGCAGACAGTCACCTAGTGAATTCTCAAGTCTGGAAATATCTTCTTGAACAGTGTGCTCACCTGCAGGCTATTTGAAAAGTACCACAGGTGTCTGAATATTGCCACCTAAAAATCAAATGTTTCTGTTATTGTGGGTATTGAGCAAATTCAAGAACAACATGGGTTTGTGAACTCATTATATTCAAGAAGAAGCTATCCCTTCTCCCACACTTATAGCCCTGGTAGTATCACATTCTGTTTTGACAGCTGTCACAAATTAAATGAAAGATATTTGGGGAGAGGAAGGTTGAGCTACAGAGAGTTGTTATTTGCAGTGCTCTCAAGCAGCTGCAGCTTTCTCTTTGTAATGTACATGCTGCTGTTATTCTTTCTCCTTCCTTCTGCTTTTCTAAACTTCTGCACTTTTTGTTTGTTGTGGCTCTTCTAATGGTGACTGGTGCTATCTAGTCCATGCTACTTTCCCTAGGAAAGGTCTTTTTGATGCTGTGTATGCAATACGCGGTCCATGCCCAGCCCTTGTTTTTCTCCAGTTGCTCTTCGGTAGTTGTCACCTTCAGATGTCCACTGGTGCCACCATTCTCCCTTCCACCTCAAAACTGAGGCTACAGTTTTGCAGCGAAGAAAAGGAATTTATGCCAGCTCTTTTCTTCGTATTTCTTCCTAATTGACACTGTTTATTCTCACAGATTACTGTAGCAGTTTGGTTTATAATGTGAAACTCTATTAAAGGTCTTTCACTTACCTGTTTATTAAGTGCTTAAACTGAGTGTTTAGGTTCAAGAGAGAAAGCTTCATATGTGTTGGAGCACTGCAAAGGGAAAGGAGTCTTTATGCTTTTTTTTTTTTCAGATTCATGCCTAAAGAGCATTGAAATAGACATTATTTTAATTTTAACTTATTTTAACTGTAACTCGTGCTAGCACCACCTAATTTTTTTTTTGTCAGCCCTATTCTTCTATAAATGCAAATATATAAATATGCTCCCTCAGCATTACATGAACTTGTCAGGAAATTTGCAGAGCTTAGAGCTATGAAAACCGCTATACCTCCATTTTATCACAAGGTGGCAGAAAATGCCCAGCGTATGTTCTGGCTGTGTAACAGTTTGATAAGCCATATCAAATAGTGCAATATACGGTGCTTTATAGAGAATATATTACTTTGGAAAAAATAAGTCCATTTAACTGTCTGTGTAAGATGTACAACATGCAGAATGTACATAATTATATAGAGAGCATATATATGTATAATTATATAGAGAATTCATTGAAGTATTACACCAGACATCAATATATATGTAATAGTGTAGGAAAGATGACTATATAGCTAAAATATATTTAGGCATTGAGTTTTAATTACTTTGGATTAAATGTAGAAATGTCTTTAAGAATGACACATATAGTAGTTCCTATGGATTACATGACAGTTTTTTGACTGGAAAGAAACTTACAGAGCTGATTTTTTGCCAGTTTTTTTTTAAAGATTTCAGTGACACTTGTATTGACTCTTGAATCTGAACTGCTCCTTATTCTCTCTCTCTCTTTCTCTCTTATTCTCTCTCTCTTTCTCTGTGTATATGAGTTTATCTGTTTGTGTTTACAGTATTTCCATTGATAAGAGATGTTATATTAATCTACAAATAATTTATTTTGTGTTAAGGAGAGATAGTAAAATTTAGATGTTGGCCAGACAACTAAAGAATTAAGTTTAAGTTCTAAGCCATAAGAGTACATTTTAACTGTTCTTGCTTCTGTGTTTTGCCAAGCCTCTGAAACTTTAAACTTTCTTTTCTGATTAATGGTAGTATTTCTGCAAATGTGTTTCTGTTGTACCGCATGAGCAGCTAGTTACAGGCTTACATATGAGAGACTTATATAAAATATAACATAGGATGGGAAAGGATATTATGATGAAAACATAAAGGTTGGTATTACAATAGTGGTTTGCATAACTGATTCTGCAACAGATATGAACAAGTTGCTTTAACTCTCTGTATCCCTGCTTTGTTTGCTATCACACTGAGCTGTTGCTTTTGTTATAAGGCTTTGTTTGCAAAATGCCTGGGCCAAGATGGTTTTAGACTAACTCTATCTGTGCTACTATTGAAAATAAGACGGTTGCCTAATTATAGATATGATGCTAATTATAGACTCCTGCCTTAAACATCTTGGCCAGAGTATTTGTCTGCTATCTTAACTGAATAAATCAAATAATCATTACATAAAGTATGCGAGATGTGATTCATTAGGTAGACAATAAGAGGAAAGAAAATTCCAGTTGCTATCAGCACATTTTGAAGATCTATGTCCTAGTTTAGCACGGTTTTGCATCCTTTCACCTGGGACTACAAGGCCTTTCCGTGTTAACCTTCGTTGTGATCAGAGCCCAGCGGGCGCCTGGCTCTGTCACTAATCTGCTGCAGTAGCTGGGGCAAACCTTTCTCTTTGCTCTTCTTTGACTCCATTTTCCCTTTCACTTTCCGCCTACAGTTTATACGTTCCTGGGCAAGATTGTGCTTCTAATGCATATGTGAAGGTCATAGGATCCTATTGGCAACTTGAGTTATCAAAATAACAAAGAGTTTACAATACATATGTTGCCACGCTTAATATTCTCTCTGCAGGGACAAATGGGTATGCCTCCTTCTTGATGAGACAAAGGATGATGGCCAGCCTTGAGAGACGATTCTCTGTACATCAGTAAATCCCTGCCTTTTCATTAAATTGCTTACTTAGGCTCAAAATTGAAGTCAGCGTATTTGGAATGGTTGTTGTAAACTAAAGTGTAGTGACACAGACAGCTGTTTCCAATGCCTGTCTGTTATAACTTGTCATTTCGTTTCACAGTATGGAAGGTGTGAGAAGTGACAGGATAAAATAAGCACAGAGGGAACTGACTGTTTTATGTGGTCATACTAATGAATGAGCTAGGAGTAAAGTTAACTTCATGTGAAGCAGTTTAAATTATTTATTTTTACTTCTGAAACTGTGCTTAACATATTGTTAAGTCAGAACCATGTTGACAGGGTGACGTTAATTACCCCGCTGGAAACACATCACATTAGCTGAAAACAATTGTCTTCAGCTATCATTCATGGCTCTGGGTAGAGCAGGAGCTACGGCTGTCAAAAGTGTTGGCAGTTTCCCCCTCCATCCATGGGAGTTCCTTTTGCATTCACCCTCAGCTGCAAATTAGCTCTTTACTTACAGCAGCAAAATACTAACTTCAACGGTTGTGGACTTTTTTTTTTTTCTTTCCTTTTTGTGAGCATTAGAGTCGTTTAATGTTCTCCCCATTAGAAATGGTACCTCCTAAAAAACGTAAGGATCTTTGTTCATTGCTCCACATTTTAAATCATATACATACGCTTACTGTTCCTGTAGATGCTTTCCCACAATTCCCTTAATGATTCAGTTCCTACTCCTTAATTCATAGCAAGAATGTTGTGTCCTTCAGAACAGGAAATGATTACGTCTGGGGTTTCCATTCTTTGAAAAGACTTTGGCTTAAGCATCCCTGCTGAGAGCCGAATGTGACTTGAGTAGCATTTGTATGCAAGCATGCTAATAAAAGTGAGGAATTGACTTATTTCTTCCTTCTTGATCAGCATTGCCATGACTTAAGGACTAAAAATGATTCAACTGAGGAGTGCTGGAAATTCATCTACAAGTAAATGAATGTCTTTCTACTTGGAGCTGCTATATTATGTTTCTCTAGACACTCCTGTTACGTGGTTAATGCAATTAGAGGCTCTACTAGGAGAGTGCATGTTTACACTGTTTATTCATTACAATGTTAGATTATGTCTAATAATGTCTAAATCTCTATTTGTAGGTTAGGCCAAAGACCCTGATTCCAGACAGCCTCCCTATTTCCCCGTGCAGAGACCAACCTTCCAAACAGCCTCCTACTTTCCAAAAGGCAACAGTAGTCAGCATCAAAAACCCCAGCCCTGCCCTCCCGACTGCCAATAATACCGTCAGCCATGTACAGACGCCTAACAGCCAGTCACAAAGTGTCACTGAGTCTGCATCTATTTCATCTCCACTGAGCAGTGCAGGTGTGGCTTACGCCATCATATCCACCTCCCCCAACAATGCAACTCCTATCAACACCAGCTCTACTGTCTCGGTGGTCAACGATAGCATTAAAGTGCAACCACTCCTCATTAGTGCCGACAGCAAGGTAGGTTCTGCTTTTCACTGCATTTTTGTATTAAATGCAGGAATTACATCGCAGATGTAAGCAGAATATTCCCCTGGGAGTGGGCAGCCCTGTATTGAGTGGTGTCAGTGGTTCCTTTGGAAGCAAATAATCAGAAAGCAATAAGAAAATTCTTAAGGGGACACATGAATGCTACTAGACGTTTATCTGTGTGCATGCATTTTTTAATGGGAACAAAATGCATCATTGTGTCATCTGACATTAATGGAACCATATGATCTTCGCTTTCCTTAAACCAGTCCTCACTAATGAAATCCCTGAATTCTGTGAAGGCTCAAATTTCCTATGGACTCCCTCTTCAATTATACAGCGATATTAGTTATATCGACTGATCCTGGGGGAGTATATCACATAATCAGGCATTCTCTTCTACATTTCCAGGGGAAGGCCAAATGAAAGGAGAGCTCAAGGGTTCAGAACTGATCAGCAGATGAATCAGTAGGAAAAAATCAAGCTATGAATTACTTGTTTTCTCTTTGTACAGCTTTTTAGCTTTGAAATACAAGAACTTCACCGTTCTCACACTAGACACACATTCGGTAGACTGCCAATGTGCCCAGCAGACAGTCACTGTAATTTGCTACCAGGATCCTACTATTTTGGATCTTGTTTGCAGTACAGGGTCTAATACAGTGCTAAAAAGAATAGCGGATGTAGGATGGCTTTTGAGGTTAATTAAAGTAGGTTTCTCTTGCATGTTTTTCCAACATGATTTATTTTTCTTGTACTTAACTGATTACTAGTTAAAAAACAAATCCATTTTTATGCTCTTGAATCTTTTTAAGTGACTACATTGATACAAAATATACAATGGTTAAATAACATTGATTAATAGTTAGCAATGGAAAAACCCTTGTGTTCAAATCTAATAACCTTCATCAAGAGGTTGTGCTTTAGAAGGTCTTCCATAGTCCCTAGCAAGCTTTGGTTATGGATGTAAAGTCACACATACAGTTCTGTGATCAGAAATTTTCATTCATTCATTTTAATTTAATAGATTTTGAGATAATGTTATCTGTAACAGGTGGTAATTCAAAGAAAACTAGCAGAGCTGGATATACTAACAGACATGTATGTATAGTAGGTCTGTATAGTAATTCCTTTAGGTAAGGCTCTAAACCAGAGTGAATTTTAATATAAAACGTGTATTTTATTTTGTTTATGCAAAACTGGACATCCCCTGTAAATAGCTCATAATGCATAAATGGTGAGGATTGAACTCTGATCTTGGTTTTATCAGTATTTCTGAGGAGTATCTTTCTTCCCATCAACATGGACATGCTCTGAAATAATACTGGTGTGACTGAGATGAGACTGTGGTTTTGAATGTATAGTAGTTCTCTCTCTCCTACATGTATTTGTAAAAAAGTCAGAGAAGGAAACTTAAAATCACTGACAACATGGATGCTAAAACTATGCTGCTGACTCAACTTTAGTAGCCCTCTAAATAGAAAGTGCCTTAATTTTCAGAGAGGCTGTTCAAGTGGCTCCCTTTGGTTGCAGTAGGTTTATGATGTATCTATAAAAATGAATCTTTAGAAATGTAAATACAGATTTAGAAACCTAACTTAGGTATCCTTTTTTTCACACTTCTGGCTTTTGACTTGCATTTGTTGCCTGTATAGGTATCAAGTGACCCTTCAATGAAGAATCAAAGATTTCAGATGGAAAAATCCAGGTTCATAAACTGAATTCTGTTCTTTTATTTGTACATTGTCTTTTAGGTTATCATTATTCAGCCTCAAGTTCAAACCCAGACGGAAGGTAAAGTGGAGACAAAGAAACCTCCTGAAGAGTCAGCTCAGGGACCCCCTGCTACCAAAAAGAAAAAGGAGGAAAATCCAGAGGTGATTTTTTTTTTTCTTCATAAATGAGCTACAGTATGGCTTAGTTACAGGAGCCATTTCTAAACATTCTTCTGGGTGAATACATAATTACTGCGTTTGTGCATGCGGTTCTGCCAGTTGTTCACCTCTATCTAATCAGCCCATGCATGTGGGGTTATTTCTCCCCCAGTGAGGTGCACTGACAGATGCGGGTTGCATCGTTCAAACCTTGCAATTTCCAAAATGTAAGAATTGTAGGTCTTACGGTGATCCAGGCACCTTGCATGGGTGCAGCTGCATTTCTGATGAAAGATGTATACAAGCTTAATATATTTTCTTTTATGCTATCAAATATATAACATTGGCTTTACAGGCTGTGTATGAGGTTGAATTAACATTTTTTTTGCAAGCTGAGTGTTCACATTTTCTTCTCCTTTGTAGTGAATCTTGCAATTTTGAGACTGTATGTAACAACATAGATTCTTGCATTTGCTGTGTAGATGTCTTTCAGTATGTATACAGATTCTTTCTAGGCTGAAATACATTAAAATCCTTTAAATTGAGTAAGGAAGTGGGAAGTAGGTTATAAGATTAAATCTCTTTTATGAAATACATTTGCTATGTAAACTAAAAATGAATCAGGAAACCATGTTGAAATGGAGCCTATCTTTAACAGGCATTTGGGGTTTTGACTAGATGTATTCAAATTAGATTATGAGTACTTTAGAGGCAGTTTGAGAAGTTATACAGACTGAATCTATTTCAAATATGGAAATGTTCAAATCCTGTGAAATCTTAAACTTGCTATTCTAATAAATTTGTAGCAAGAAAGCATCCTTGGAGCTGTAGGTTTAACAGGACTATTACAATATAAATTTTTAGCATTACTTGGAGAATGTGGAGGGCTCATTCTTTTTACCGTTCAAGAGATTCATATAACTAAAACAGTATTGAATAATAAATGCTGTGGCTTTTAGCCTAGAATATCACAGCTTTATGCAAAGGCTCTGCAAAACCAAGTGAATGAAATCTCCTCTAAGTTTAAAATCTGACCCTTGCATGAATCTTCATTGCCACTTAATAATATAGTCATAGGAGCTTGTTTTGTTTACGGAGGTATTTCTGAAATATTCTTTCATTGTGTAGGCACCGTAGATGCAGAAGGGCTAGTAGGTCCTGCTTAAAAAATTTTTTTTGACGTTCTATATTCAAGGCTCTTCCATGCTTGAAGAGAAGGAGGTGGATAGATTGGAGTCATCTTGTCTGACCCTTGCCCCAGACAGCTCACTAAGGAAAATGCCCCTGAGCCCCCAGACTACATTAATCAAGAAACTCAGGAAAGGAGGAAGAAGAACTTTCTTGCTCGCACCCACTGATATACCCATAATTTTGCAGCTGAAGCCAGTGGCATAAGTGCCAAAATGCCTCTGCAGTACCTGCTATTTCTGTGCACACCATTCCTCTCCCTCTAAATGCCTTACCAGCCAGAAAGCTTGCAGAGGCAACCTTGCAACATTCTTCCTCAGGGCCCAGCATACAAATTTACACCTTACTCAGTTTTCGGAGCATATGCAATAGCTACCTATCTGTTCATGAACCACAGACCACATCTCTTCTGGAAAGCCTGGGGGCTCTGACCATGCAGTGGCCAGCTAGCAAGGCAGTAGTGAGATATCTCCAGTCCCGCTTCACCCACTTTCCCAGTTAGGGAAGGCATGAGGGGGGAGCACAAAGGTGCTGGCGGTACCTGCTTTTTCTTCGTCCTTGCCAAGGACTGAGAGACGCTGTAAGAGCTAGAATTGAAAGAGGAAACAAAAAGAGAATTCTAGAAAAATCATCCATTTTCTTCATGTGTAACTTATGCCGCCCAAAACATTGAGCAAAAAATCCAGAGAGATGCAGGAAGAGACCGAGGGACACTTTTTAGTATAGCAATTATAAATTTAATGAGCTTTCCATTGAATTCCTGGCTGTCCTGGTGCCATTGATCCTTCTGACTACTTTGGTTATGTAACCAAAAATATTGTTCCTACCACATGTACAGGAGGTCTTTGCAAGCAGAGTTTCCTGTGTAGGATGCAGAGGCTATGCCCTTAACTGTGGCTTTTTAAACTTTTCATAGATTTGTTTCACAGCCTTAAACGTGTAGGTCTAGAGTTAATTTCTTTTGTTCTTTGAAAGTAAACTTTAGTTGATTATCATGTATTTATGCAATTAGCGTAATTAGAACTAACAGCATAATTAGTGTAAACACATGTAATGACATAAATAGAACATGTAATTACAAAATGAAATGGTTTTGTGAAAATCTTTGTTTTGCTTCATGAAAAGACATACTGCACATTTCTAAAAGCATTTGAGGCTGTTTGACAGATTACTAACTTTGAGGCAAAGAATAACAAAGATACCACAATATTTTTTTAAAATAAATAAGTACTCTAGGCACTTCTCTCCACACCTTTATTTATCTTCAGAGCACAAAACTGAGGCAGGAACTCCCAATACTTCTCAACATAAATGTCAGTCATGACAGTCTGGGATTTAAGAAATTTAATTTAAAATAGTACAGCAAATGAAACAGAAATAACCAGGCGTACCAACAGCCAGGAATTCCATACGCAGTTGCTGAATGTAATTGAATGAACACAAAAGATTAACGATACTTATTTTCTTTTGTTCATGCCCTGGTCATTCTGTTGGGAGGCTGTAAAGCTGATTCTGGACGCAGCTCCCTGCAACGTGTGTGCGTTTTGCATAAGGCTAAGATTTCTCCCTTCCCTGACTGCTTTAGTCATTAGGCTAAAGCAAGGTTCCTTGTGTCTGCTGTTCTTGCAGCTGGAACTCCTGGACACTTGACTATGCAATGGCTTTCCTAGGAGGGAGAGGGAGTCTCTGTCACGCAGGATAATCCCAGGTCCAGTGACAGAGCACTCTCCTGGGATATGAGCAGTGTGAGTTTAGTCCCCCTCAGGCTAAGGAGAGCCTGGAAGAGTGGGCTTCCCACTCCGTTGAGTAAACCTGGCTCTCCTGAGGGTGGAGGCAACTAACTGAAGCAGTTAATTGCAGCCAATCTAGTGATGGGCTTTCATCAGCACCAGCCTCTCCCACTGGAACGCCTTCTGCAAAGAAATTAAGGAATTATGCAAGGGAACTGTTCCTTTCTGGAATAAGTGTCTACTTTTTTTTTTTTGAGGACTTCAGATGCAGAAATAAATGGTCAGAATTCCTCCCAGTATTTTTTGAATCTTTTTTATATATTGCAAATTTTACATTTCTGGCAACATTTTGTATGACATTTTAGTAATGTTTTATTTAAAAACTAAAATTCTGCAATGAATGCTAGTTATTGAGATAACAGTGTTTTAACCCCACCCAAGAAAGACAGGAGAGACACACTGCAATTTTGGACTAAATGTTAGTGTTAGGCCCAGAATAAAAACCTGGAGAAACTGAAGCATCAGTTGCGCTGATTACTGTAAAGAGAATGAGCAATGTTTTGTTGTAGTTACTGTGATATTTTAAGGGAAAGCATAGCAGTAGAAGATGTATTTTGAGTTGAATTCAATGAGCACGAATACATGAGTATGCAGTAGGAAAACCCATAAAAACAAATATGCTGTTAATATAATATGCTTGTTATAAAGAATACAGCTTGTACTGGGATTTTTGAAAAGGAAACATCTTTCAAATACTTATGGAAACTAACCCTTCCTGTCTTTAATAATGAGATAATTATCAAGTCCATTTATGAAAACTTTTCATATGTTAAGCAAGTATGCTATCAATAAATTTAATTAGAAATTTGTTCAAATAATTTTAGCATGAAGACGGGAAATTGTTTAGAAAGCATTCCAGTACTCAAAGAATTTTAGTTTAGATGTAAGAAAAAGTATGCTCCCTTTACAGTTTAATCTTTGGTTTATACAGGCGCTCCATGCTCCCTTGTGGAAATATGATCACATATTAACTATTCCAACTTTCTAAATCTAGCTGTTGTTATCACTGCTCAGAGCTCTGAGGCTTATCCTGTCACAAAGTTATTTTTGGTGGAAGTCAGGTGAAGCTTGTAATTCAACTCAATTGACTAATTTTCTTCTCAGATCTGCACAGTGGATCTCAGATCAAATATTCATCTTCCCCTTCATGTGTGGAGCCCCCACTGAGACTAGCTGGTGTTTTAGACATGTAAGGAGTGGAGGTTATTGAAATCAAGATATGACATGCAAATGAACACGTGCCTGTCATTATCATAGTTATCAAAGGCAGAGATATAGCATAAGTATCATCGAAACTGCCAGTGCTGAGATTCCACATGACTATTTTTTAATCTACAGGAAGAATTATCTACTAGTAGACTGTGGAAGGACAGTATTCACATCCTATGAGGCTGTTAATTTACCTCTTTGATAGAATTTTTCACAGACGCAAGATACGAATACCCAGTCCTGACCTGATTTTGAAGAACCTACCCCTTAACTAGATCTTTTCATGAGGATATGCTTATTTTCATACTTTCACTGTGTTAAAGTCAGAACTACCAAAGAAAGGGTAGTTCCATTGACTTATCAGTTGGTTTTATCCTGAAGTGAAATAAAAGGCTGAAAAATTAAGCTTTTCACAAAACAAAAAGGTCAAACTAATTTTGACTTGGAAGTGCTGAAACATCTTCTCCTCACAATTCTTTGACTGAAACAGAATGTTTTGACCTTCTACCACTTAAACACTGTTTTAATTTGACCTAAATCTACACATTTGATTCTGGCTGAGTAAGATAATTGCATCTTCCTGTGATCTTTGGCTGCTTTGTCCGAGTTGGATTGTAGGTTCTGCTTTCCTAATAGCTTGGTATTTGTAGTCAGATTTTCTCCCCCTTGGAATTGCACCTTATAAGAATACCAGTTGGGTAACATGGTCCAGCAAGATTTTTCAGCACAGCAGAGACGGGATATCACTGAGGCCCTACGGTACCATAGACATGACTCAAAGCCAGGGAGTTCAGTTCAGTTCGGCCTTGAAACAACACAGCAGAATTTCAGTTTTCCATCAAAAAATTGCACAAAGGCTTCAGCAAAACTTCTTCCCCTAAGGAAAAATTTCCTGATGAAAAATCACTGACAGAAAACTTAGTCTGCTCTAGTACCTGCCCTATTACTGCATAGGCATATCTGAAGATTTGTCAATATGCAGATGTGCTTTATGCATATATAGTATGTAAGAATTCTGAGTAATATTATGGATCATATTCTTCACTACAACATGCGTTCACCACTGTCAGTGAGAGATGCTTGTTCGCTCTCGTTGGGGACAGATACTGGATCAGTGACCTCTTCCTAATTCATGCATGTGATATTCTTTCTGTGTATCTTGGGAAGAGCAATTTCTGAAAGGTGGGGGGGGGAAGGTGATCAATGTGCCTTTGAATTTCTTGTTAATTATTAGAAGATGTATAGCATTGTAAAGTTTAGTGAAAGTGTATCATTCCTCCTTTTATACAGCTTGCTTATGTCCAATAAAAGCAGTGCCATTTTCAGACAGTGATAATAATACACAGATCACTTCTCTAAAAAATGGTCTAACACAGTAACTAGCAATATGAATTTGAATTGATTGAATTTGTTGAATTTTCATCATGGGTTGTATAAAATCAGTAATCATACAGCATTGGCTTTGTAGGTCTCCAAACTGCTAAAGTTCGTGTAGTTGTACAAGTAGGACACATGTCTGACCAGACATAACTGAAGCAAACCTTTAGTTACAAATTCTTCACATTATTATGTATTCAAATAATAGACATTTCTAAAAGACCTTTATTCTAGCTTATTCTGGACTTATTCTAGCTGTGCTAGGTTATTTATTTACTTATGTTTAGCATGATTGCTATGGAAAAAAGTCTAACCCCTGTTTATTTTTTCCTTAGAAAATTGCCTTTATGGTAGCATTAGGACTGGTTACAACTGAACATTTGGAAGGTAAGATGGCATATGTTTTTTTACAGTTCAGTCCTCAGAAGGGGTACAAAAGATCAGGTGCAATGTTGCCCATGCACAATTGCCCTTTTCAGCCTCAAAACCAGGGCCAATCTTATCTTGTTCTACCTCCAATTCCATTGTGCAGTTCAAGAGGCGTGGGAACTGGCTCCGCAGCTGGCACGATTGGTCTAAGCTGGCGTTTTTGTGGTTCAACAGTCAGTCGTCATGGTCCCATAAAAGCTATTAACAACTGGAGGGACATAGTGAAGTTGAAAGTCTGCAAAGGCTCTGGCCAACGCTCATCTGGCTGAAGAGTCAGGGAGGTTCAAAGATATTTACCCAGATCTTCTGTAAGCAAGCATACCCTCTCTTCCTTCACCATGGGAGATGGACCTATTCTGATTTCTTGAGTTAATTGGATCTGTCATCTCTAGAGTTCCACAGAACAGAGTGTAAAAGTGGTGAAAATCAGGATTTGTTTGGTATGATTTTAAGCAAATTAAAAAACAGCCTCTAAGATGTCCTTTTTGCCCGTTTCTATTCAGCCAAAGATAAGCTAATTTTCAGAGTTTGAGCCTGCTTCTATAGGAGAGCTGCTACCATACCTTTCTAGGCTTCTAAACATGATTTCAGACGAATAATGCACATAAATTAAATGCGGGGGGTCACATACCATTCACTTTTCTTTTGTAACTTTCCAAAAATACCTGGCAAGAATTAAGAGCGTTGCATCTTTCTTTGTCTTAGCTTGATTCCTCTGAAAATGTCGATGAGAGGAAGAAAAGACCATGGTCAGGAAATATGCCAAAGGCGTGAAATGGGTTTGAGGATTTCTTGACAGAAGGGTCTGGTTTTCATGAACAGAGCAATAGATACAGACATTGTTCTTATTAAAAAAGAAAAAAATCCACAGCTTGAGATGTTTTAGTTACATCCTCAGCCAGTATAATTTGGTGTGCTCCATTGATATAAGGAGACTAATCTGGTATCTGTGCCAGCTGAAAAAGATTTTTGATTACAAAAGATGTTAATGATAATTCACACCTACCACCCATCCCGTGAACCCCAGTCAATAAATTATTTAGGAATTTCCACTGTACGAATTTTAGGGAAATCAACAAGACTGATTATCTGCTGTAAAGGTAGCCACATTCCTAGATATCTTGCTGACTCAAGAGCCCAAGTTACCAATTTACAGCTTGATTTCTGTTTAATAAGATTCTTTAAACTTCTGTTCATTGGTTTTAAAATAGGCGGTAAATTAGGGAGAAAATAGCATCTTAATTATAAGGTCTTGTCAATATATGCAGCAGGTTTTCTCTGGGTTTTGTTGCCTGTTTTTTCAGTGTCTGTCCTCTTTGAATCTGCATTTTAGAAAACCATGTAATGTCCTAGTGATTGAGAATTTGAAAGCAATTTAAAGAAAGTTTAAGCCATTGGCCTTTTTAATCCCTTAATGGTAATGGATTGAAATGGAAATTAAAAAGCTACAGCAATTTTGAGGGGAGAATTCTAATCCAAAAAGTGCCAATGATGACAGGTTTTTGTTTTCTTTGTCTAAGTAAAATAGGACGTTTGAAATTGTGCTGAAGTGCAAATTATGCTTACAACACAGAAAATTTCATTTTGAATAATTCTTTACCCTTTGATTTTATTAGAACTAATAAATTGTTTGTGTGGATTTAGTGTTAAAAACAACAAGTAGCGCTCTGTTTGTTATACAGCAAGCGCAGAGATGCATGTTTTGAACCTAACTGCTACAATACTAACCCTGCAAAATCAATTCTTTCAGACAAATGCACTTTTTATATTCCTACTAGCATTAAATAAATGGTTCCTACCTTGAACTATTTTATATGGAAAAGGTATTTCTTCATGACTATTGGTGATTACAACTGTCAAAAATACCCTTATAGCTTTCACATCCTGAAGGTTTATTATTTTAGTGCTATGTCATATTTACTGTTATTAGCCATTGCTATTTATCAGGAAGTAGCAGTCATTACACAGTTCAGTTTATTTTAGTACTTCTAATGTATTTCTCAATTTTACATTTTTGGAATTAAACTATATCAAGATCGAGACATTAAAAGTCTATTCATTCAGTATCATTAATTCACAGTGTTACCGCTTTTCTTCATTTTATTCATTAACTTTGTGGTGAAGGGCTGTGATCTTCTTCTGTATGGAGTTCTCTATCAGCTTAGCAGTCTTTCCATCTAACTTCCAGAGGAATATCTTTCCCCCATATTGGGAACAGAGCACTGTCCTGCAGAGACCACGTGAGGCATCTTTTGAGGGCTTTACCAGTAAAAAAAAAAAAAAAAAAAAAAAAAAAAAAACCTTCTGCTGACATTCTGCAAGATATGGATTTCACTAAGCATAAATTGTCATTACAGGCCTCATGGAATGACCATACAGAATGTTTATTGATGATGGGTAGTTCCCTGAAGCTTTGCCTCCAGCATAAACCTATCTTCAAGTATATTAATCTCTGTCAAATGTGTTACAGTTTAGCTTTTTTTTTTTCCTGTTTGGATTATTCTTTTTATATTTATAAATGAAGGAATAAGATCTCCCAAGTTTATGATGTGGTGTGTGAATTTGACATACTAAATCTTTTTCTCTAGGCTGCTGGAATACTTTTCAGCATTACCACTGTGTAAAAAGAAATGGATTTTAAAAATTTAGATACAAAACAAAATGTTTACGAGATTGTTTAGTTCAGGTCATTCTAAAAATTAACTTTTTTTTTTTAACCTTAGAAAAAGAAAAAAACTGAAATATTTCCATTTGGATTATTGGCATGTTTTGACCAGTTAAAAGAAATTGTTTCTTTTAATTTTATTAAGGCCTGTTTTGGTCCATTTAAAAATTATTCAGGCTTTTTTTTTTTTTAATTTAACAACATATTGAAATGTTTTGATTTTTCCGGAAAAACGTTATAATGTTTTTAGCTAGAGCTATTGCAAAATTCAGCCCAAATTCACAGGTTCTTTTTCCTTCCTCCAAAATTACCTACTTTAGTTAAATTTTCTGATGAAAAGTAAATTGACTTATTCTGTGGTAGCTCATCAGTACCCTGTGTGATATGAACTTCGTTATCTTAGCTAAATTTCCAGTGAGTTGTTACCCACATCACTGAAATTCAGGGCACATTTGGTACTGGCTGGAGCCCTTTCTGCCAAGTTAAGCAGAAAGGGCAGCATCTGGATGAGCATTTACAGAATCACAGAATCGTTTAGGCTGGAAGGGACCTCTGGAGATCATCTCGTCCAACCTCCCTGTTCAAGCAGGGTCACCTAGAGCATATTGCCCAGGATCACATCCAGACGGGTTTTGAATATCTCCAGGGAAGGAGACTCCACTACCTCTCTGGGCAACCTGTTCCAATGCTCTGTCACCCTCACAGTGAAGAAGTTTTTCCTCAGGTTCAGATGGAACTTCCTGTGGTTCAGTTTCTGCCCATTGCCTCTTGTCCTGTTGCTGGGCACCACGGAGAAGAGGCTGGCCTCATCCTCTTGACACTCCCCCTTCAGATACTTGTACACATTGATCAGATCGCCTCTCAATCTTCTCTTCTCCAGGCTGAACAGGCCCAGCTCTTGCAGTCTTTCTTCATAGGAGAGATGATCCAGCCCTCTAATCATCTTGGTAGCCCTCCGCTGGACTCTCTCCAGCAGTGCCATGTCTCTCTTGTACTGGGGAGCCCAGAACTGGACACAGTACTCCAGGTGAGGCCTC